ACAGAGAGGAAAGTAGCAATCCCACAAAATATAACAATAACTAAATAAACCAAAAATAAAGACGTACCCCACCCTCTTAAAACATCACTTCTCAAGCACACAATATATAAAAAAATTATCTCACAGTGCTGAACACAGTTTGACCTTGTCTACATTTGTGGCTACATTTAACCTTAATTAATTAGAATCATAGAATATTAGGGTTGGAAGGGACCTCAGGAGGTGATCTAGTCCAACCCCCTGCTCAAAGCAGACCAATTCCCAACTAAATCATCCCAGCCAGGGCTTTGTCAAGCCTGACCTTAAAAACCTCTAAGGAAGGAGATTCCACCACCTCCCTAGGTAACCCATTTCAGTGCTTCACCACCCTCCTAGTGAAAAAGTTTTTCCCTAATATCCAACCTAAACCTCCCCCACTGCAACTTGAGACCATTACTCCTTGTTCTGTCATCTGGTACCACTGAGAACAGTCTAGATCCATCTTCTTTGGAACCCCCTTTCAGGTAATTGAAAGCAGCTATCCAATCCCCCCTCATTCTTCTCTTCTGCAGACTAAACAATCCCAGTTCCCTCAGCCTCTCCTCATAAGTCAGGTCCTGTCTGAACTACATAAATTACCACGTTTAGTTTAGAGAGACAAGGTGGGTGAGGTAATCTTTTATTGGACCAACCTCTGGTGGTGAAAGAGACAAGCTCTTTGCATAAGCACTTAACATGTTTCAAGGGACCGTTCAATATAAAGTGGCCCATTATCACCCGTCCAGTCACAGGGAGAAAAGGAAGGGTAAGGGAAAGAGAGAGAGGGGGGGTGTGGGTGGGTGTAGGGTGAGTTACAGATTGTTGTAATAAGCCATAAATCCAGTGTCTCTATTCAGTCCATGCTTTTTCATGTCTTGAATGGCCCCTTGAAATGCGTTAAATATTTATCCCAAACAATCTGTCCACCTTGTATTTAGCAATGACACTGAGAGCTAGAACTGCTACAGTGGCACAGCTGTACAGATGTAGCTGTGCCGCTGTAGCACTACTAATGCAGATGTTCTATGCTGATGGGAGATCTCTCCCCCGTGAGAATAATTACTTCACCTCCCCGAGCGGCGGTAGCTAAATTGGTGGGAAACACACTCCCACCGACCTATCCACACTGGTGCTTAGATCGGTGTAACTTATGTCACTCAGGGGGGTGTCTTTCCCGTGCCCTTGAGCGACTTAAGTTATACCAAAGTAAGCGCTAGTGCAGGGGTCGGCAACGTTTGGCACGCGGCTCGCCAGGGTAAGCACCCTGGCGGGCCAGGCCAGTTTATTTACCTGCTGACGCGGCAGGTTCGGCCGATCGCGGCCCCCACTCGCTGCGGTTCGCTGTCCTGGGCCAATGGGGGCGGCGAGAAGCGGCGCGGGAGAGGGATGTGCTGGCCGCGGCTTCCCGCCACCCCCATTGACCTGGGACGGCGAACCGCGGCCAGTGGGGGCCGCGATCGGCCGAACCTGCCGCGTCAGCAGGTAAATAAACTGGCCCGGCCCGCCAGGGTGCCGACCCCTGCGCTAGTGTGTACCATCACTATGGTACACACTACAGCCTATGTCAGCATAATGTATGTTGCTCAGGGAGGTGGTTTATTCACACCCTGAGCGACATAAGTTACACCGACATAAGCCATTCACGTGCACAGCGTTGTTGGCGGGAGAGCTTCTCCTACTACATAACTTCTGTCATTAACGGAGGTGTTTTTTTATGCCAATAGGAGAGTTAGATCATAGAACAGGGGTTCTCAAACTGGGGGTCGGGACCCCTCAGGGGGTCACAAGGTTATTACATGGGGGGTTGTGAGCTGCCAGCCTCCACCCCAAACTCTGCTTCGCCTCCAGCATTTATAATGGTGTTAAATATATAAAAGTGTTTTTAATTTACAAGGGGGGTCGCATTCATAAGCTTGCTATGTGAAAGGGGTCACCAGTACAAAACTTTGAGAACCACTGTCATAGAATATCAGGGTTGAAAGGGACCTCAGGAGGTCATCTAGTCCAACCCCCTGCTCAAATCAGGACCAATCCCCAGACAGATTTTTGCCCCAGATCCCTAAATGGCCGCCTCAAAGATTGAACTCACAACCCTGGGTTTAAGCAGGCCAATGCTCAAACCACTGAGCTATCCCTCCCCCATCTCTCTCTCAGCAGCATAGAACATCTTCACCAGAAGTGTGGCAGCGGCACAGCTGCATTGATAAGCTCCGCAGCTGCAGCTCTGTATGTATAGACATGGCCTATGAGTTAATTGCCTAGACCTGAAAAGGAACTCTGTATAAGCTTGAAAGCTTGTCCTCTCACCAAGAGAAGCTGGTCCAATAAAGATATTACCTACCCACCTTGTCTCTCTAATACCCTGGGACCAAGAGGGCTACTACACCACTGCAAATACGTTTAGTTTAAACATTTATAAAACATGACTGTTGCCAAATCATGTTATAAAATGCTCTCAGGAATTATGTTTAGCCTATGCAATCTTATTTACACTAACAAACTAAGGACCTGTAATTTACCAGCAGTGCAGTGCTGGTGATAGCAACAGCAGTATTTCATAAAAATCATGAAACTGTCTTAAACTATGATTTTTTTATTTAATTTTATATATATATAATTTTTTTTTTTGCCCTCTAGTTTTTAAGCTTTAGGGTACATTCGGGTCATACTTTCAGGTTTGGTCTGCAACCCTGAGGGCCAGAAATTGCCTTTTATTTTAATGAAAGCTGAAATTCTCACATAATCCCATGACTCCAGGAGCTTGGACTTTAAGAAAACACCAAATATCACAAGACTAGCTATAAAATCCCAAGAATTGGCTTCAAGCTGTGACAGAGACAGGTCTCAGACATTAACATGGTCATTTATCCCAAACTCATGAGCTCTGTCTATGTTATAGCATCCACCATCAGAGAATTTCAGCTATGACATTTACTAGCACAGATATAGCCAAAGAGGCTGCTGGGAAAGAAACCTATATGATAGGAAATTAGTCTGTTGTTGAAAACAGTTCTCAGCAATGTACATTGGAGAATTGTGTGTTTAAAGTGTTAGTACTGGACCATGTGTAGCTGCCACGTTAGAGCTATCTATCTCTATTCACCATCAACCCTATTTCACTTAGATTTATCCCCACATCTTACACATGCAGTTGTATAGTAAAGAGGGCCAAACACATTGCCACCAGCAGGGCCGGCTCTAGGCACCAGCAAAACAAGCAGGTGCTTGGGGCGGCACATTTGCAGGGGGCGGCATTCGGGCCATCCTTTTTAAAAAAACAAAACAAAACAAAACAAAAAAAACCTCACTTCCTCCCCTCTCACAACCCTGCAGAAGCGGAGCCACGGAGCAGCTGGGGATCCAGTATGGGAGTTGAGAACCCACGGGACCCTGGGAACTGTAGTTCCTTGCCTAGCTCCCTGCCTATAGAGCCAGCCCTGGAGCAGGGAAAGAACTACATTTCCCAGCAATCCCTTAGCAGCTATCAACAGGAAAGAGAGGGGTAGGGAGTGAGGTAGCTGAGCCATGCTGCAGCTTGCTGTGAGTCGAAAGGGGTGGCACTGTGAATGGGGAACAAGTATGCCCAAGGAGTAGAAGGCTTTGCCCCAGATATCCCCTTCAGAAGACTTCCCCAGACTGGATTAGGGATACTGGTGTGACCTCACCTTGCAGCCCCCAAAGAAGGAATTGGGTGGACTAAATGGACAGTGCCCCTCTCTATCTGAAGCCTAGCAAGGGAGGTACGTGGATCCCACTAGAATTTAAAATGAAAAGTAAGGGAGGGGAGGCTCTACTAGAGGACCTGGGCAGCTTTAGATACAGTACCAGGCACGTAGGAGGATTTCCACTTCTGAGCCATGGAAGCAGAAATTGACTTTTCCTTTCCAGATATAGCTAATATTCAGAAAGGGAATCTAGCACCTGCCTTCCAGATTTGAACACTCTCAAAATTCAGGAGTGCTCAAGCTCAATTCGGGCAGCTGTTACTTCATGTCTCCCAAATCAAATATACTGATCCACTGTAACTTGCTGTAGAAAAAGTAGGATAAAATTGAGCAAGAAATGCTTCCCAGTGGTTTTTAGGACTGGAATTGCTATTTTCAACAGCCATTGCCTTTTTTGTTTGTTTGTTTGTTTTTGTTTTATTTGTTTAAAAGGAAGACAGTGATATTGCATTGGCAAATTCCCCATAGAAAGAAAGAGTGGAACAAAAGAATAATAAAGGCACCTCAACTTTTCCTCATTTATGTAGGACAGTCTTATAATGTGCATCCAGATATCCTCCAATCACACAAGCTGAAAATTGTTCCACTTTACTGCAGTTCTGTAACCATATGGGAACCAATCCTGTCTGTGTTCTGTGCACATCTAAAATTCCTGCTGAATGACCCGCCCTGGGAGTGAGTTACCAGTGACCCAGGGCTGGGACAGCAGGAGGGAAACAAGTCTCCTCTGGCAGCTCTCTCGAGAGCAATTCAGCTAAAAACAAAACTGCTGAGCCTGGGGCTACGCTGTACCTGCAAAAACACAGCTGGCGGGAGGCAGTGCTGAGAGGTCCCTCTGCAGCTCACACCGTTTTGGCCGCCACGACAGCCCGCTCACTCCACTTGGGGTCACTTTTAGCGCCTCTGCTCCTCCCCAGCACAGCCCGGCCGCACCTCTCCCCATTCCTTAGCCCCGCCTCCTGCCCCTGGAGTCGGGTTTTGGCCGCCTTCCTCCCCCTATCGCCCCCGCCGGTCCCTGTACAAATGGTGTCCGTCCCTCTCTCCGGCCGGCCCCAGCCCTGCCCACCTTAGGGGACACCACTAGCCCGACTGCTGGAGCCCGGGGACGCGCTGTCAGGCCCGCTCCCGGCGGGGCACCTCGGGAGCGGCGTGCTGGGCTGGGCAGAGCGCCAGGAGCAGGCCGAGGGGACGGCGGTAACGCCGGCCTGTGTGTTCGGGAGATCCGGGGCTGCCCCTCCCCACTCAGCGCACACTCACCTGGGGGAAGAAACAGACTCGCCCACCAGGCCCGCGCTCAGAGCCCGCCTGGCCGCGTTTGAACCGGCCGCCGCCCTGCGCCCGCGCCCTTCCCCTGCAAGGCGGGGCCGGGCGGAGCGAGCAGCCGAGTCCAACCGACCCCAGCCTGGCGCGCCTGCGCCGTCTACTCTAGTCTGGAGCTGAGGGGCGAGCGGGAGGCCGGCGGCGGCAGGTCAGTGGCTGTGCTGGACGGGGAGCGCCCGCCGGTACCGGGGCGCGCGGGGGGAGCAGCGATCGAGGCGGGGGGTCCCCGCGCGGGGTGGGGGGTTTGCCGGAGCCTGGCTGCTCGCACGGTGGCGCTGCCCCCGCTTAGCCCGGGCAGCTCCTAGCCCCACCGCCTTCGGGCGAACAAAGAGCCCGGGCGGCTCCGGCTGCCCTGCTCCCCGTACTGGGCTCTGAGCAGAGCAGCGGGGCTGGCTCCGAGCCCGGGTTGCCGCGGGACACTCAGGAAAGGGGGCTTGGCTCGTTCTCGCTGCCTTGCGTGGAAGCAACAGACGATCCGGGGTTACTGCCCGAGGCACTTTCCCCCCTCGCCCTTCCCGAGCCGACAGGCGCTGCGAGCCTGGCACCCGCCGCCGAAATGCAGCCACTTCTGCGAAGCGCCAGGGTGGGGTTAACAGGGTTCCGAGGCTGCGCTCGTCAAGTCCCCTATAGCTCTTCCGGAATAATTATGTGTTGTCGACAGTTATTTCTGTATAAGGCGCTCTTATTCCAGCCCCAGCCCGTGAGAGCCTTTGTCCGGTTTAGCTTAAATCGTGTAGACTAGTTCTTTCGGAATAACAATTCCAGGAAATTTCCAAGTGTAGACAAGCCCGTACCCATCATGCCTTACAATGTCAAAATATGAAAGTAAAGTACTATTACAAGTTAAAATATGGATGCAATATGAATTAATGAATATGAATATTTTAGTGTAATGCAATGCAGGATGCTTTCCTTTCCCTTCTGCTTGCACAGCTAGACTAGACTAACCATTTTCTGTTTCCTAGAGTTTGTTTCTGGCTCTCATGTTCTTACAGGGTGCTGTGGGAGAATGTTGAAATCTAATTTAATTGACTTTAAGGTTTTGTTTGGAAATAGTAATAATAAATAATTAATTGAACTCCTGGTCTAATCTTTCAGCTCTCTCACTGTCAGCATATAATAATACTAAATTGGAATATATACGCCTGAGGGCATTTGGTGCCAAAAAAAATAAAATTCTACACCAAAAATATTAAAATTCTGTGCATAATATTTTAAAATTTTGCACATTTTATTTGTCAAATAAATGTGGAGGCTCCAGCATGGCACTGGGGAGCATAGGCTGCACCTGACCCTAAGACAGGGCAAGTGCCTGGCCTGCCCCAGAAACACCCCAGGGCCCTGCCCCTCTGTGTGGGCAGGCACGGTCAGTAAGGCAAGATCCAGGTGTGGATGGGGCTTAATGTGGGTGGATCCAGGTGTGGGTTGAGAGTGATCTGGGTGCACAGGGGCTTTTTGTGGGGTTCTGGGTGCAACAGTAATGGGACTCTGCAGGGGGGTCCAGGTGAAGGTGGTTGGGCTCAGTGGCGTGGGAGCATTGGGGGGGATAGAGTTCGGCACAGCTGTCTGGGTGTGGGGGGCTCAGTGGGGGGGTTCAGATGCTAGGGGTGTGGAGCTCAGTGAGGTTGGGATCCAGGTGCAGCTGGTTCTGGCTCAGTGGGGTGGGGATCTGGGTGCGGGTGGCTCGTTGGGGTGAGCCAGGTGCCTGGGGAGTGGGACTCATTGTGGGGAGAGGGGGGTGTCAGCTGGAGGGTCTGAGTATGAGAGGATCTGGATGCATGAGGGTTGGGCGGATGGGGGAGAAGCTCCCTGTACAGGAATCCCTCCCCCTGCAGCTGAGAAGCAATGGGTGCAGGAAGTGTGTGGGGGCGGGGGGTTGCAGAGCTTCCTGCAGCTGGGAGAGAAATCTGAGGGTGGGTCTGACAGGCCCCAGATGCCATGCAGGGGGAAGAGGAAGTCCCATCATCCCCAGCCCAGCCAGGACTAACAGCTGAGCCTGGCGCAGGGTAGGAGCCACCAGATGGGTCTTCCCAAGTTTTGCCTCTTGCCCCCCAGTGATTTACCTCTCTGCCAGCTGCCCTGGGCACCCAAAACATACTGCTGGGGAGGGTTGCATGACCACTCTTGTGGCTTCCCTTTGCTTCCCTGTCAGAAAGTCATTTTTCTGCAGGGAAGTAAAGCAATCTGTGGGGGACATAAATTTGGCGCATGTGCAGTGGCACAGAATTCCCCAAAGAGTAAGTGTAGGACAGAAAACTGGCAGTGGCATTTACCCAAGTTGTCCACTAGAGAATCTTCAATGATCACTGCTGGTCAGCTCCGGATATCAGTTTTAAGTCTCACCTGAAAAATGGTACCTCCTCAACTCGTTTCTCCAGAGCACAGTGTTGGGGCATTGGAGGTTGTCATAACTATAAAGGGAAGGGTAACAGCTCTCTGTGTACAGAGACTCCAAATCCTTTTACTTGTAAAGGGTTAAGAGGCTCGGGTAACCTGGCTGACACCTGACCCGAAGGACCAATAAGGGGGCAAGATACTTTCAAATCTTGGGGGGGGAAAGGCTTTTGTGTGTGCTCTTTGTTTTAAGGGGTGGTTCGCTCTTGGGACTGAGAGGGACCAGACATCAATCCAGGTTCTCCCCATCTTTCTAAACAAGTCTCTCCTATTTCAAACTTGTAAGTAAAAAGACAGGCAAGGCGTCTTAGATTTACTTTGTTTTCTCAACTTGTAAATGTACCTTTTACTAGAGTGTTTATCTTTGTTTTGCTGTACTTTGAACCTAAGACAGAGGGGGGTCCTCTGAGCTCTTTAAGTTTGATTACCCTGTAAAGTATTTTCCATACTGATTTTACAGAGATGATTTTTACCTTTTTCTTTAATTAAAAGCCTTCTTTTTTAAGAACCAGATTGATTTCTCCTTGTGTTAAGATCCAAGGGGGTTTGGATCTGTATTCACCAGGAGTTGGTGGGAGGAAGGAGGGGGGACGGTTAATTTCTCCTTGTTTTAAGATCCAAGGGGGTTTGGATCTGTGTTCACCAGGGAATTGGTGAAAGGGTTCTCAAGGCTTCCCAGGGAGGGGATTCCTGAGATGGTGGCAGCGGGACCAAAGCTAAGCTGGTAGTTAAGCTTAGAGGTTTTCATGCAGGCCCCTACATTTGTACCCTAAAGTTCAAAGTGGGGATACAGCCTTGACAGAGGTGTATTGTCTAAGGCCCATTCTGCATTCAGATCCACACAGGCAGCCATGTGGATCCCTGTTGAAGTCAGTCTGTGTAGATAGGTCTGCCCACATGTATCTAAGTGCAGGATTAGCACTTTAGAAGGAAAAGGGTTAGTATCTGCTCTGTCGCTGACACTTTGTGACTGACTGGTGAAGTTATAACCTTACAGTATACTATTGGACCCAAGTGCCAATATTCCATTGGCTTCACTAAGCTTCTGCACAGGCACAAAGATCCATCTACACGGCACAAAACTCTACCTGTCACTACATATCACCATAAACTACCACCAATAGAGCCCAGTGGTTGGAAGAGATCAGCTCATGGGTGAAGAACGTCTGATTAAAACTGAATCTGAACAAAGCAGAGGTTATGCTGCTGGGAAAAGAAAGGAATTTTGAAAATCGTGCAACCGTGGTGCCATCTCCTTTGGTTGAAGGTACACATCCACAATTGGTCAGTTCCGTCTGTAGTTTAGGAGTGCTGCTGGATTCCTTGCTGATGCTAAATTCTCACATAGCAGTATCCATCAGTGACTTTTTACCATCTGTAGCGAGGCGGTGGGCTACCCCACAGTCCCGCTGAGGGCCGAACCTCCCCTAATACCAACATGGGTGGAGCCACCGGGTCCAGCGCCTGCCCCTCAGAGGTCACGGCCCCGACCCGGAAGTATAAAAGCCCGCCTCCAGAGTTCAGTGGAGCCCAGGCCGGCGGAGAGAGCAGACGTCGGTGTCCGAGCTCCCGCTTGGGAGGCAGCCGTAGGCCGCGCCCGGCCTGCTGACGTACCCGGTCTGTCGAGCCTACCTCTCGCCCGGTACCCTGAGGAGGACTGGCCAAGCCTGCCCCGTGCCAGCTACCCCGAGGAGGAGCCGAGCTTGCCCCGTGCCAGGTACCCTGAGGAGGACTGGCCAAGCTTACCCCGTGCCAGCTACCCCGAGGAGGAGCCGAGCCTGCCGTTCGCTACCTACCCAGAGGAGCCGATGCTGGTGGAGAGCACCGACGACACTAGGACGGCCCAGGTACCATCCGAGGGGGAGTGTGGAAGTAGCCCGGGGGCAGCCGACCCCAGTCTGGCTGCTGCACTGCCAGAGCCGATGTCAGTGTGTTGGGCCAGGATCCCCACTGACAGCAGCGAGTTTCCGCCGCTGCTAGGGCCCCGGGCTGGGACGCAGTGGAGTGGGAGGGCCTGCGTCCCCCCTGCCACCCACTCCTTGGGTGGCAGACTCCCCCTTTTTCCCTGGCCTAGAGAGGCTGGGTTCCTGCTTGACTATTTGTTTGCTGCCCCACCCTGACCTAGGGCCTGGGCTGCTACAAACTCTGACCCAGCCCCTGCTTAAGGGCCTGGGTATTTGCATGACTATTTGATTACTGCCCGCCCTGACCTAGGGCCTGGGCTGCTATAGACATTGCCTCGGTCCTTGCTTAAGGGCCTGGGTTTCCGAGCTACTGACTCAGCCCCTGCTTCAGGGCTGGAGCTCCAGACTGATTGAGGGCTCGGGGCTCTTTTCTGACTGTAGCGAGGCGGTGGGCTACCCCACAGCCCCGCTGAGGGCCGAACCTCGGCCAAGACTGCTACACGATCTCTGGTTGGTTAGGAGACTGCCAATGATGAGTTATATACAGCTATACAGGTCTTTGTCACCTCTTCAGGCACCGTGGGACTTTCTACCATAAAGTTAAAGCACTTCTGTGCAGGATATAGGACTTTCTCAGGGGCCAGTTGAGATTGTCGAATAAACTCCCACTGGAGCTAAGGACCATCACAAACCTCATCACCTGCTG